AACTAGATACTAAAAAATGCTAATTTCAAGCTTGTCGATTATTGTAAAAAAAATAGTTTTTTTCTCGATTGAACACGAGACGTTGTCGCCTTCTGTGTTATAGTTAATAAGTTATCACTTTAATACGTGTCGCTGTGACGCCAATAGTCGCTGTGACGACAAACAAACTAACGAGCCCTTTTTATTCCGAGGTGTAACTTGTATTAATGTACATGTATCTATTTATATAATGAACTCATTTATTTTACTTGATGTTTGCAGAGAAAATTGTTATTAATTTATTGGGTTTTCACTTGATAAACATAAGACACATCTGGCATTCATTCTTTCAGTTAAATATATACAATGTTATAAGAAATATATTATTCAAAAAAGGAATCTGATTCAAGAATGAAAGAAGTGCCGAGGACGGATGACTTTAATAAAATACAGGCAAGTATTCGCATGGGCTAAAATGCCAATAGGTATTGTGATCTATTTTTAGTAAATGTAGTTTTGAACTTTTGGTGTATAAGTACATGTATGTAGATTTATGATACGTATGTCTATGTTATGTAAAAGGGTATATTTATAATTACACTTTTGTTGTTGTTGTGTTGGTGGTGATTGTGGTGTCGGTGATGGTGGTGATGATTATGGTGGTGGCAGATAATGTGGTGGTGGTGGTGATGGTGGTTATGGTGGTGGCAGATAATGTGGTGGTGGTGATGGTGGTTATGATGGTGGCAGATATTGTGATAGTGTTGATTGTGGTGATGATGATATTGTAGTGGTGATGGTAATTGTGGATGTGGTAGATGTGGTGGTGGTGTTGGTGGTGGTAGTAGATATTGTGGTGGTGGGGGTGATAATTGTGGCGATGGTAGATATTGTGGTGGTGGTGGTGGTGGTGGTAGAAGATATTGTGGTGGTGGTGGTAGTAGATATTGTGGTGGTGGGGGTGATAGTTGTGGCGATGGTAGATATTGTGGTGGTGGTGATGATTGTGGGGGATGGTGAATGTGACGGTGGTAATTATTGTGGTGGTTCTGGTGGTGATGCTTATGATTGTGGGTTGTGGTGGTGGTAATATACGGTGGTGGTGTTGATATTATGTGGTGAGTGGCATGGTGGTGGTTGTTATGATGATGATGATGATGATGATAAAATTTAAATCGGGACTGAAAATTCAAAATCAAGTTGGAAAATATCATAGAGTTCAAATTGCGTCGTGAAAACCCGATTAAAGTAATAAGAAATATATAGTCGCTTAGTCAGAAAAATTATGATAATTGTGGCGATGGTAGATATTGTGGTGGTGGTGGTGGTGGTAGTAGATATTGTGGTGGTGGTGGTGGTAGATATTTTGGTGGTGGGGGTGATAATTGTGGCGATGGTAGATGTGGTGGTGGTGGTGGTGGTAGTAGTAGATATTGTGGTGGTGGTGGTAGTAGATATTGTGGTGGTGGGGGGTGATAATTGTGGCAATGGTAGATATTGTGGTGGTGGTGGTAGTAGATATTGTGGTGGTGGTGGTAGTAGATATTGTCGTGGTGGTGGTGGTGGTGGTAGTAGATATTGTGGTGGTGGGGGTGATAATTGTGGCGATGGTAGATATTGTGGTGGTGGTGGTGGTAGTAGATATTGTGGTGGTGGTGGTAATAGATATTGTGGTGGTGGTGGTAGTAGATATTGTGGTGGGTGGGTGATAATTGTGGCGATGGTAGATATTGTGGTGGTGGTGATAATTGTGGCGATGGTAGATGTGGTGGTGGTGGTGGTGGTGGTAGTAGATATTGTGGTGGTGGTGGTAGTAGATATTGTGGTGGTGGTGGTAGTAGATATTGTGGTGGGTGGGTGATAATTGTGGCGATGGTAGATATTGTGGTGGTGGTGATGATTGTGGGGGATGGTGAATGTGACGGTGGTAATTATTGTGGTGGTTCTGGTGGTGATGCTTATGATTGTGGGTTGTGGTGGTGGTAATATACGGTGGTGGTGTTGATATATGTGGTGAAGTTGGCATGGTGGTGGTTGTTATGATGATGATGATGATGATGATAAAATTTAAATCGGGACTAAAAATTCAAAATCAAGTTGGAAAATATCATAGAGTTCAAATTGCGTCGTGAAAACCCGATTAAAGTAATAAGAAATATATAGTCGCTTAGTCAGAAAAATTAAAGGTTTCATATTCCATTTTACAACATTTAATCGTAAATGAAAATTAAAGAAAAAAATCTATTGCGAAAATTTTATTCTTTAAGTTCAACAGTAAATAATCTTTTCAGAAATAAGATACTGAGATTAAAAATTACGCAGTTTATTGTTATTGTTATTTATTTTTTTTTTTTTTTTAAACTTTGGCTCTTTACTTATCACGACCTAAAGCCACGCTATACATGTATATTTAAATACAGTACTTTTTTAATTTAACACACCTGTTCAATTCTCTTTTAAATGTTAAGCTTAAGATAAAAAATATTTTATTTATCATTATTAACATTATTATTTCTAAAGAAAAAATGTTGTCAGAATAATTTCGGGGGTCTATTGATTCCCTTTCAAATTCATTTGAAAAAAATGGTTTTATGGATTTTCTTTAAATTGAGATTGTGTGAGTTTCAATTTTCATTATCGGGTCATTTATGTAAGTTTAATGCACTCATAAGAATCCAACTTGAATTCGGAACTTCTCGCCAATCATCGATAGTCATTTTCCGAGCTATGACGAAAATGGCCGAAAGACGCGTTTTCTTTTAATCAGTCCGCGAGGGAGTCCTTTAATAATCCAATCGGCGAGCAGGTTTACTTTTTGTTTTCTTTTTCATAAATATTACATGCTCTCTGGCTTTGAAAAGATATAAAAGGTAACATTATTTATGTCAATATTTGCTTGAAATAATTGTTAAGAAATCGATCAATTCCATTATATCTACATATGTTACCATGGTAACAGTTGTACAACAAAAGAAAATGTTGTTTATTTGTTTGTTTCTTTTTTTTGTTCAAACAAATACAAGCTTTCCCTGAACTGTGACGAAATCTTTGTATGAGCTTCTAATTAGCCGTTTGCTCATATTCTGAAAGATGAGATCAATAAACTAAGAGTGTTTCTCACAGAGAAATTTCGTCTGCTACAGACTCTGCTAGCATTGTACATGATTACTAACTTCATCGTGTTCATCTATATAAATACACACACACACTTGAAAATTTTGTAGTGGAACATAAAGGATGTTTTTATGGGCCTTTCCCTAAAAGGGAAAAAAGAAAGTTTATTTTATCAAAAAAAATTTTTAAAAAATAAGAAAAAAATGCGATTTTTTTTTTAAACCCAATAATGCTTAGACTTATTTAATTTATTATTTAAAAATTTTTATATAATAAAAAGAAAAGTCCTAAAAATCTGAAATTTTTTTAAATGTAAGAAAAAATTTTTTTTTCGGAAGGTTCATGTTAAAAATTTCCCTTTTTGGTAAAAAGGGTTGGTGACGAAAAGCAGTGTTTTTCAAAAAAAGCCCGGTGTTTTAAAATTTAAAACGGGTTCATACAATTTAAAACAAAAGCGTAAATTCCAAAAACAAAAATCTTTAACCCCGAGAAGCCAAATTGGTTTTCCAACAAATTTAACAAAATTTAATTTTCTGTCAAAAAGAAAATTTTTTTACTTATTTTAGATGATTTATACATGTCTTGTCCGAAGAAAAAACATAAAAGTAAAGTTTTTGCTATGTTTATGATGCTGTAATTTTAAACCGTTGCAACGTTTTATTTTGTAAATATTGCCTATAAGTAAATCCGTTGGTTGCGGTATAGAACAGGTGTACGCTTGGTAATTTTTTTATCCTTCAATTGATTACTGCACAATATATCAGATTAAAATCATGTCCATAAAAAGAGACTAAAAAAAGAAAATATGTCGGTAATCCGGTTCTACCTGCATCATTCTGTGGTAACAGGTATCTCTGCCAAGTGAAACATAACAGCAATAAGTTACAATTATCTCGTGAAAACTGCAAATTTTTCTTCTATGCATATTACTGTAAACAAATATGTTCATGTTTTGAGACCCGTTTTGTGTGGGAGTCTAGCTTTAAAACATAATTGAGCCGCGTCATGACAAAACCAACATTATGGGTTTGCGACCAGCATGGATCCAGACCAGCTGCGCATACGCGCAGTCTGATCAGGATCCATGCTGTTCGCTATCAGTTTCTCTACTTTTTATAGGGTTTGTAAGCGAACAGCATGGATCCTGATCAGACTGCGCGGATATTTAGTTTATACACACGATCAAAATCTGTATTGCGTTGCTATGGCACCGGTGACCCAGTCATGTATTTATGTCGTTGTGTGTATTTGCATGATATGTCAGTGTGGTGGCTATTTTGACAACTGGACACTCGTCTTGGATCACTGTACTGTGACGAATATCTCTTAAATGACCTTCTTACAAGTTATATTAAGGCCATACTTGTAACACTATTGTTCCACGGGGATTTGAAACTGTATCTGGTTACGCATTGACAACTGCAACTTCTCGGCCATTTTCGTCAAACTTCGGACTGAATTCGATTTACGTTATAAAATATAAACATGTCACCGCGAAATGTTTGGATTTGTAGATATAGCTTAGTTCATTGTATTGTGTAAAGGTCCACTTCAATAAAATGTAAATTTATAAACTACATTATTTATATACAAATCATGAATGACTCGACGAGTTACACTTTCAGACAAACATGTTCGTTAAACGGCGATGTAAAAGGCTCAAGGTTTGAAATAGACAGCGACATAAAAGAAGAAAATTGACAATTACCAAATGCTTTCTTCGCTCACCATTTTATTTCATTGTGAAAAAATATATACAATGTATTTGATTTGTTTTATTTGCAAATGGAGGAACTATTTTGTGTAGTGATATAAACTGTATTCCTTGCGCATGAAACATCTTTTGCAGCGTTCATTAAACTTTACAGTACGACAACCTGTGACCCGTGTCACAATGTCGTTGTTACGTAATCCTTGTAAATCTTGTATCGATTTCGTTTTAACAAATAGCCACTGGTCTTATTTTTTGACAGCAACGCTGACAAATAAATCATGTCCCTGTGATGCGCAGCAATTTGTCGCAAAATAAAGAGTTTTTATTAAAATTCCACACAGGATTACCGCATGAAGAAGTACAGCCAATGAGTTTAAAAACAAACCAATCGTTATTGTTAGATCTATAAAAGTGTGTACTCCGTTATAATAATAGGATTATATGATCGGAAATCAGTGCAAAACAAATTGGACAACTAAAATCGACATGTATGCGCAGTGTAACCGGTGTATCATACAATGAATTTCCGATGACAGTTGCAAAGAATCACAAAAGATATTGAAAATCACATGTTAATGTGTATAATTGATTGATTGGCGGATATCTCAGGTAAATTTACCTTTTTTAAATCTGATAAGATAATTGAAACCAGTGCTGATGATAATAATCAGATCATAATATCATAACGATAATTATCAGATAATTTGATTAAGATAACTTAATATATTTGAGGTTCGTTTTCCTTCATAATTATATATAATCGAAGAAGCTTAAATAAAAAAAGATTTTTTTAACAAAATTGTTTTCAAAAAATTTGTGATAAATCTAACTTATAGGGTTACAGCTACTGATTTACATTTTTTACAATTGTAACGGTCATTTGTTTGACACGTTCTAAATTGCTTTTCTTGCGTCGAAAGTTTCACGTAAAAAACGTGAAATGAATCGCATCTGTCTGACTAATAAACATATTTGCATGCAAACTAAATTACCAAGCGTTGATTTACACATTTTATATATTTATATTTATGCTACATTAACGTGGTATATACATAAACGCTTAACACAGTGATAAGTCCGTAACTTGACACCTGATTAACTCATTAATTAGGAGAAAAATGGTGTTGTAATTATCATTAACATATCTAAAGGTTAATAAGTCAAAACCTTTTTGTGTGACCGAGTGGTAAATCAATGTCATAGTAGAGTTGTCGTCCATTAACATGGTGTTAATGAGCGATAAAGGACGACAACTCTTGGTTGAGAATTATTACAGATGTATTTAGGTTTCTACTTCCGGTTAAAGCGATCTTATGTTGTTCTTCAGCATCTTGTGCAGCAATAGTAGAAAATTAAGTAAGAACTTCACAAGTGCATCTTAATGAATATAATGCAATCAATACATGCTGAACGCACCTCTTATAAAGATACTCTGCTGAGGGTTTTTGACATGACGGGACTGGGAATAATTTTCGATATTTGTAGACTGTACCATTAAACTTATGTGCAGAGTTTTTAGATAATTCCCTCACCACGTTTTTAAAAGAAAAGCGTTGCAACGGGCAAAGAATGGCACAAAAATCGTTTTTTTATTTAATTCGTAGCATATTTCTTTTAAAATCCTTTAACGATTTTTCTATTGAGGTATTTCACTTGATCTATAAAAGAATATCAAATTTTATAATTTTAGGCTTCTATGTAAGAATTTCAAATTTTTTGTTTAAATGTTGTTGTTTTTTTACCTCAGTGGAGCTCCTTTAATTTAGAAGCTTATGTTGCTTTATAAAAGTGTATAAAGCGATATCTGATGAATAGTTTATAAAATTCTAAAGAAAAAAATATGCTGCCTTATGGTTGTTTTTGAAAAATATTTGTAACCTCAAATATAATGCAATTTAATATACTTGAATATTGTATGGCAACAGGGCTGCTGTTTGGAAGGTTTGACGATGATTTCTTGCATGGTTTCTACTCGCTTTCAGTAAAATCATGGTCCTTCAAATAGAATTTTTGTTTTGAAAGACCCTGGTAAAATATACCGACAAATTTCGTTCATCGTTCATTTTATGTATTCTGTAATCATTTTGATCGCAATGTAAACAAAAATTTTATAATCCACAAACAGCAAATTTGTTTTATACACTTTAATGCTATTTTAGGACACCATGCCTATAACCACATTGATGAGACAGGTTGAAAAGTTTACACAAATGATTCATATAATGGACTTATTGTGTGCATCAACCAATGTTCTTTCCGGTCTTTATTCGGCACACATGTCACAAAAACATTTTTGTGTGAAACAGATATGTCATTGTGGAAGTAAAATTACACGATGTCCAAGTGTCAAACAGTCAACAAACATTACAGAAAAAGACGTTTTCTTTATTGTGTCGGCAAAACATATATCGTAATAGTTGACAAAAGCATCGTTGTTGACATGATAGTTTTTGTATCTGACAATTTCCGTGCGAATGTACTTTTGTCAAAATGTCGCTGTCAGTCTCAATCGCATATTTTCGCCACTTTCAGTCAATCTTCGGAAAATAATTATGAATTGTCGAAATGTTCCGATTGAGTCAATCCTACTGTTAGTAATGTATTTATTTGAACGATGTATTTATTATACTTGTTATTTTTTGTTCAGCTTGATGCAGACCAGGTACTAGTTTTTTTCTGTCCGCGCGCAAATATTTTCAAAATTTACACTTCAGTGATTTTTTAGGGGAAAAAGGCAAGATCTACCTTGATATGTTTATAGAAAATTAAATGTTCCATATTTTAACTGAAATTGGTATACTTAAAGCTGTGTGAAATACATGAAGAAAGAATCGCGTTACTCATTATTCGCGGTTATGCGCTATATGCACGTTACTCTCGAGCTCGTGCATATATAAAACCGTTTGATTGATCGTTTACATTTAAATTTGACTTGAAAGGATTAAAATGAGATTTGAAATATTTAAGTTTTGAAGAGACATGCTGTTAGCTTTCTAATTTTAATCAAAGCACAGAAGGCGCTGAATTTGTTTGGGTCTCAGAATGTAAGAAAGGTGCAGGTTGTGAGATTATATGTTTAGTGCCACCAATGCTTTCCAGCGTTTTAATTGTAGTAAATTGGCTATAAGACTAATTGCAACACTGATATTCAATCCAATGTTTATTTGACTTTAACAATTTAAAAAAATAAGTTACCTTTACTGGGATTTGAACTCCAGACCTCTCGCTTCCTAAGCGAGCCCGAAAACCCTTCAGCCACGGTTAAATTTATATGTGAACGGCCTGAAGAAAACCATATTATTCTAAATTAGGGCTTGTAACGACTTTTAACTGTTGTTTAACACAGATGTAAATAATCCTGAAGCTTACTATAAGCATGTATATTTATAAAAGAATCAAAGGGCTTCATGTTCTTTGGTATTTTCTGATCTTTGCAATCTAAATCGTACTGTATATCTGTATGCATTTTCCTGTATAAGTTTATTTTATGTATTATAATTCATTTTGTAAGGCACATACGGAATTCTGCATAACTAGAGTTGCATCAAAAAATCATTTATGTACTTTTTTTACGACAGCCACACTTTATCCTTGTAAATCATGGCTACTTCCTTAACAAAAAACAATTAAAAAAAAAGAATTTAACCAAAAAAAAAAATTTCCTCGACTGGGATTCGAACTCGAGACCTCTCACTCACTAAGCGAGCGCGTTACCACTGTACCACGGAGAAATTATACACAGTATGTCTGAATAATATCTAGTCATTCTAAAATTTAGAACTTCCATTGCATTCAGGTTTGTAATCCTTATTAATTTCGAGGTATTTTGTTCAGGGTAAACCTGTTGTTTAAAATTGAAGTAAATATTTTAGCGAAAAATCCTCTCGCCCAAACAGTCCGACATGTAGAATCTATATATTCCACTACTCGGTTTGTGTAGTATTCGGTAATCTACATGGCTAAAAATAGTATTTTCATTGATAAAATCATATTCATCCGCGTAATTTGTGATTGTGCATTTTATTGACAATTCTATAAGCCAACGCTATTGTTTAACTTTTAAATGCGTTGTAATTTGTTGGATACTTGTAACAAAATAAAATATTTCTTTCTTTTAAATCGCTAGTTTTAAGCTGTTTTTTGAGAACTACTTGTTGTTAGGTTTGTCATAAACTTCTGTGTCAGAGATTGAATGTCCGCTTTGTATTTTGTTATTTTCGATCAGAAAATACCAGAAAACAATATTAGAAATCTTCGACCATTCGGGAATTACTTTGCTTGAAAATTGATGCGCCTGTCTTTGACCATCTTTACGCAGTGATCTCCCCTGAATTTTTCGGCTTTAGTGTACATACAAAAGGGAAGTAACCGCTTCAAAAAAGTGGACTACTTTCGGCATTTGCAATTAAGAACATTAGACTCTGAAATTTCGCTACCATTATTTGTTTGGTCTGACGACCCAAACAAATAAAAACGGAAAAAATCAACCAGTTTCTTCATAAACATCAGTTAAGGATAATGGGTAATCATTCAGCTGCTCCGGTTGCCAAAAAAATACTGTCATGCTCAGAACAGGATGCTTTAAGGAAATAATTATAATTAAAATTCATAAAAAAAGAAAATATCTTAAAGTTGATGATTTTCTTTCGATAATATTTTTTCTCGAAAGCAGTTTTAGGATGTACTTCAATCTTAACTCTACCGGAACCGGAAGTGATTACCCTTAGAACAGAACATATACTTTATCTACTATACCCGTGCAGTCTGAGCAGGCTCTATACTATTGTGTGATTCAATATCCCCGTTAAAGGCCCATTATGCCTCAGAATTGCTATCATTTTTATTTCTCAAAAACTTCTTATTTTTTGTATTTTGTTACAGTTTTCAAAAAAAAAAAAAAATAAATAACCATTTGCCATATAGCTGAACTATATTTGCCCTTTTTTGCTCTGTTGACAATTGTTATTGATATATTTAAAGTGAATTTGTATTTGTATGGAAGTCAAATACTACTTTATTTACATTTTGCTACCCACATTACCGTATATTCAAAAATTTTCCTTAGCGTTTAAACATCTTACATGCTCTAAATCCATTATTAGAACATTGTTAAACACTTTTTTGACATTTCTAAAGAATTTAATAAAAATGGATTTCTTAGTCATGATGTGCCTTTAATATACAGTTGTTAAGATACCTTAGTGCAGTAACGGGTTAAATCCTATTGAAGTTAACCGGCTTACTGTACTTAGTTGACGATTTGATGATATCAGCATTTAATATCCTTTAATAAAAACATGGAGGCATATTTCTTCGAAATGCATATCGTATTTCTCTCGACATCTTACATTATAATATGCTCTCATTGGCGAGAAAAAATTTTCCGCGTTATAAACTTTCTTCTAAATAACAGGACAATACAAATAATTACAGTGTCATGATAAGACAAGTAGCTCGAGTGCCAGTAAATGAGCTCTCGATGTGCACCAGGCGCGGCTCCAGTATATTTTACCATGGGGTTGGGGAGAGGGGGTGAGGGATGTCGTAAAATTTTCACAAGGGGTAACGCATATACCATAGAGGGAGTTTAGCATTTTACTGGTTTTCAGGGGCGGGATGGGCAGGGGTGTAAGAAGCCATTTTTTTAAAAAATTTGTTTTTGCAAAAACAAAATAATTAAATACCGACCACACTTCTTGATCTGCGCTGCACCTATTGTTATTATTATTATTGTGAAAAAAAATATATATATATTTACATAATCAATAAATATTTACGTGAAATAATAACACTATGAAAATAGTCGTAGATGAAACCTCAAAACAAATGCTGCTACTCGACATTTTGCGTGTAAAAAAAACAAACTTATTTCCTATTGCAATATCATTTAGTTATCTTTGTCGTGATTTTCTTGTGATTATCTCCTTCTATTCAACTGACTTGTATGACAAAACTTTAGTCAAACAAAGTATAACCGCTAAAATTACTAATATGAAATAGATTAAGTCCTTAACTCAATTAAGGAAAAACGATAACAAGAGAGAATGCACTTGAATGAAGTAATTGGCCAACTGTATGGTGTGTAGTGTAATTGTGTTAAGTATATGAATGATATTAATAATATCATGTATTATTGTACACGATATTCTGCCGCCAGTTTTACATTGAAAAGCTTCTAGGAAAAGTTGGTTATGTTTGTAATTCGCTACAAATACTTGGAATACAAGTACTTTAACTAATGTAAAAGTGGACACATGAGGGTAAATATGTTTAATTTAGTTCTGTTTACTCAATAATTTAGTTCTATTTACACAATGAGACAATTGTATTTGTTTTTATATTATCTAAACTTGTTTGAATATTAGCTTTACCATATTGATGGCATTAATGATAAGAATTAACCAGCTATCTTCCGTATCGTGTATTTTCGGCCAGTTTCGTCATTTCCGTATAAATGGTCCTGCCTATTTAATAAACATAAAATACGGAAATTGTCGATATATTCCGAATTAAGGTTGTTATTTGTTAAGACTATCTCAAATATCGAGTTATGAATTATGCTAAATTATATCAGTGTTTATATCCGTCTTTACTGTTCTGTAGAAGTTCAACTTGCACGTGTAACTAGCCAATGGAACACCTCGATAATTATTATTAACGCATGGCGGAAATGTCCGAAAGGTTGCGAATTAGTACCAAACGAAATCAATTAGTTAAATAGACATGCATATAAGGGCTGTATCATTTTTAAGGAAATCCGGATGTGTTGAAATTATAAATCCGATGTTCCCGTGTCATTAACTTTCTGTGAAAATTATGGTAACTTTACACCAAGACTACAATATGCATGTATATTGCAAAAAGAAGTTTGCAGAATATAGTAAAAAGCTGCCATCGCTGTTGAATGCAAGCTTTAAGTTACAAAAAAATCATGGCTTATAAGGGCATCTGACAAATAACATATAAACGAATGAGAGTGTTATATGAACATGTGCATACTCATACGTCTCTCTTTTACGTTATAGTAAACAGAAACACTTATATATATGTCAAACATTCAGGCTGCTTTGTGTACACATAAACTGTACTACAATTTAGAATAAATAGAAGTATTATTTATTCCGTTCCTACTCGAAAATTATTTTTGTTAGTTTTACAATGTCTTATCAAGGAGAATTCTAAATAAAGATAAAGTACAAAACATATTAAACACTAAAGTATAGATTATTATCCCCTGCCGGAAAAAAATGGAAGGGGGATACTTGAAGACACATTATGCCTCAGAAATGATTTAATTTTCCTTCTTTAGAAAAGGCAACCATGAGTTTTATAACATTAAAATAATGGTTTTAGAGCATTTTAGATGCTTATTACTTGAAAAAAGTAGCACTGGAAGTGATTTTTGTCATCATAATAACAAAATGTCAATAAAGACCCGTGGTTCGGGTAATTGCCCAATGGGTATCTTTTTGAAAACTGTAACAGGACACTAAAAATAAAAATTAAAACATTTCTAAGTTATCCTGGGCCTTAAAATAACGTTTTCCGGCCTTCCAGCCGGGTCCATATCCTAGAATCGGTTTGTCCCATTTTCTTCGAACTGGAAAGGAATATTAATGCATATATGATTAAGGGAAATGCAGATAATCCAGTGCCATCAAATTCCACCCAGGATGTTTGAGTTATGGACTTTAAATTCATTGTGTTACTTAAAAAGGGTTTTAAAGGAAATTACTGTTTTGATTATTATTTTACATATAGATAGACTAAAAGAAAATACAATAAAGTATAAGATTATGTAAAAGTAAGGAAATGAGGCTCAGAATTTGCATTATCGCCCTTTGTAAATTTATAATTAAGCATGTGTATAGGAAATTATAATACAGTTCTTGCTAGTAGATTTTGATATTTCTTTTGCATGAATATAATTATATTTCAATAGAAGATGATTCTTATCACAGTCATTTTATCAAAAACCCATGTGTGTTTGTGTGTTATTGAGTTATGGCCCTTTATGACGGTGGCGAGGGTAAACAAACCCAAACACACATACATTCTTGACTAAATTGAGTGTAACTAATTTGATAATTTGAGCATATTTTTCAGGATTTCACTGCACTTCAACCATAAAGTTGTAATTTGATGATAGATCAAATGTGACACGTTATATTTTAATGTCATTTTTTTCCGGAAAGGGACGTATTTTATTATAAAAGAGTTATGTTGCTTTAGAATGCTCACTTCTTTGGGCTTTGTATTTAAATAAGCACAGTATGTCTCAGAAATAAGAACATACGTATATTTTATACGTAAATGGCACATTTTTTTTAAATGTTGTTATAATAGATTTTATGCGGAGCATGTTAGTCTTTTATATACATGTATGTATCACCTGGATAGTGTAGCGTTGGAAGTGAAATGATGTGCCATAAAGGTAGCATATTGGAAATAAACTGTTATTTTGCGTTAATGGTTCTTTAAGATACCAAATTATTTTATGTTTTATTTCAGAGATGCCTGATACCCAAGTTTAAGTCTTATTCCAGACGTTGTCGCAGAATGCCGACGGACGCACCATGGCAGATGATGACGCAGGTTGTGAGGAGCCGACCGTTTTTGTATGTAACATTTATTTTTTAGATAAATAAGGTTGTAAATTTTTGTTTTAAACAAATACCCAGTGTTTGTCATCCATTTTTGCAAAGTAATGATGATTGTATACCTTTTTGTCATTTTCTTGACTTTATATAATTATCACAGTTCTCTACGGTCCACCATGATCCTTCTGTTTATTGAATTCTGATTGTCAGACATCTTTTCCAATCATAATGTTTTCGAAATACACATCATTTTCATTCGGATGTTGAAATTGATATATGTTATTTCTTATTTTGCACATGAGTCACGTGATAGAACTACTTTCAGTCCTTATTGTTTCCGAGATGATTATGGGTATTAGGCTATGTTTTTTATTTTTGATTTTTATGCAAATATTGCACTCATTAGGTCATGTACATACTTTGTCTGTTTTCTTTTTCTTCTTTATCATTGCTTCGACGCTATATTCAAAATATGGCTCAGATTTTCTTTTCCTGTCTTTTCGTGGACTTCCTAAATACACGCATGTTGTAGATCGCTTTGAGCTAGTATTGAAGCATGATTTAATTGTTGAATATATTATTCTTTTTCCTGTTTTCAGATTGTGTATACTTATTTTCCTGGTTGTCTTTTTGTTGACACATTTTGTGACGCCATTAGGTGGCGTAGGGTTCGTCATTGCCAAGTTTCCGGCAGCTAACAGCCGTTCGTATGGCAACAAGTCTGCAGAACAGAAGTTGTATGTTGACTCACTTTCACCCATGGAAAATTTCATGGATATTTCATCCAATGAAAAGCGAAATAATGTTAGGAAAATTCAAACGAATACTTTAACTAATGAATATGAAACGAATACGTGCCGAGAAAAGAAGTTCCATGTCAGTTTTCTTAAAGTGCACAAGGCCGGAAGTACAACGCTGATGAATATATTCTTGCGCTTTGCTATTGAAAATAAACTTAATATAGTTCTTCCTAGAAAATCCTCTGGATACGGGTTTAATTATTTAGGTTATGGAAAGACTGTCTTTAAAGAAAATATAGTTCCGATACCAGCAAACGAGACGTACAATATCCTGTGTAATCACGTGGTTTATAACCGAAAAGCGTTCCATTCTATAATGCCAAATGATACATTTTACATTGGAATAATCCGAGAACCAGTGAGCCATTTTATTTCAGCTGCATCTTATTATGGTTTCTACAAACATTTACGAGATTCGCCTCTGGGTAAAATTTATAACGAAAAGGTTGTGAGTGAATTTTTGAAGAATCCTTCAAGAACAAAAATTCAAACGTATTTCATGTACAATCGGATGAGCTACGATTTCGGCATACCAAAAGAGAAATTCCATGACGTCACGTATGTTAACAGCTACATCGATGAGCTAAAAAGAGATTATTCCTTAGTTTTAGTGTTAGAATATTTTCAGGAATCATTAGTTCTTATGAAACGGATACTATGCTGGGACACCAAAGATATCTTATATGTCCCGTTGAACGCAATGGGAAATAAACCTGATTTTAATTTAGATGACAATGATATTAAAAACCTCAGGAAATGGAATAGTGCGGATTTTAAATTATACGAAAGTTTTAGTTCAGTATTTAATGCTAAGGTTGAATCTCATGGGGAAGATTTTAAAGCAGAAGTTGTGAGTTTTAAACAGATTCAAATACAAGTGAAAACGTTCTGCTTTAAGTCAATGAGACAGGGCAAATCTGAGTCTGTTTTAACAATACCTAAAACCAACTGGGGTGAAAGTTTTACGGTAACACTTAACGACTGCAGACTAATGATGGAGCCTGAACTACACATGATGAAACGATTGATAGAAAATGCATGGTCTAAATATAATAAAACAATTGTTACAAAAAAAGTAATAGCAACTGAAGCAGAAGACGCTAATAAATGAGATTATAGCAAGAACACCGGAAGTTGCTAATACATTGAGATTATAGCAAGAACACCAGAAGTTGCTAATAAATTGAGATTCGTAAAATGCTTATAAATTGAGCTTATAGCAAGAATACCGGAAGTTGTTGATAACTTGAGATTTTAGAACTTCGCGGAAACGTTCAAGATGAAAATGGAGCAGAAGTGTTGTAGACAAAGATCGACAACTCTGTGAAGAGCCTGAAGTATCGACCCGACAACTGAGTAGATATTGATGTGTAAGGGAAAAGGAACGACAGTCCTTGATGGAGTCTGCTTGTTTGAAAGGGTACCAGTTTTTATATTGTGACAGGATATTATATGCGGCAAAAGATGAAGGGAGAAGTTGTTAAAAAGTGGCATATTAAGTTTTGGAGGCCAGTGTGAATGCGATCAAGTTCGACAACTCATGATAGAACTAAAATTTACGCTCAATTAGATCTTCCATCTGATTGGTTTGGTTTAGGTAATGTTTTAGTATCGACCAATAGAATGCGTCGTTATGTAGCGATCTCAAAAAGATCAGTATTATGTATCGAAGAGATTACAACATTTTTATATATGACACTTGAAAGCTGATTACCAACTTTTTTAACAATTTTGCAAGGCCAGTAGGTTTCCTGATATTTTAATCTATAGTCTTTATAGTTAGATAAGTTTTTTTTTTAATTTTTAAAGCAGCATGCCACCATATTCATGCTAATTTTCATGAAAATTTTGAAAATGAAATTAAAAGTAAAATAATGTGAAGTGAACAAAGAAAGTAATTTTCACACTGCTAAAGACACTTGTAACAATTTACACAAAATACCAAAAAGGCGGTCAAAATATGCCAAACAAATAGGCCGTACTGCATAAGACACACAATGGAATACTAACGCAGTGGTTCTCTGATAAAAACTGCAAAAATTAGCCATTAATCGCACTACTTTAAATTATTACTTGAATTTTGAATCCTTTTATTTTCCTTAAAATATTAGTACATTTTCTTGAAATATTTTGGCACATCTGAAGGCATGCAGCTTTAAAAGGCTTTTCAAATTTTAGTTAGTGATCTTGATGGTAATTATTTCGCTGTTATTTAATTTTGTCTTTTTATACTGGCAAAACTAGTTCATTTTTTTTGTACAAAATGTACTTCGATTTAAAAACTGAGATTTTAAATGCCAAGATGGTACACATATTTAAAACCGGGTATCAATTATGTATATAGGGAACCAGTGTAGACTTTATGATTTTATTTGAAAAGTAGTCAAGTTGGTCAATTTGTTTATTTTTTCTTCGTTTTTTATTTTTACCGTTGTTTTATTTTCTTTAATATCAAGTTATACTTGTAAAGTCTCTAGTCGGAGTATTATTTGAATTAATTTGTCTACGTAGTTAATATTATGTGACGTAGGTTATAATATGTGACGTAGTTAAAGATATGTGTCGAAATTAGTTTAACTATAAGAGTTACTTAACCTTTAATAATTTTTCGCCGCCATTTCTTTATAAACCAACGATCGTCCACCAATGTATGCAGTATGCATTTGTTGCCCTATCTGAATATTTATGTGACGAGAAATGGTCATATACATTGTGTATGTAATTGCGCATTCATCATTTTATGTTAGCCGTAATTTAGATATATTTTCTCCATGTTGAAATTATCATTTATAGTGGAAACAACGCTGTAAACTCATATATACATTCTAGGTTACAATTTATCATGTTTCACAAATGTGTAAAAGTGACTTATTCATAAACGGTAAAGGAAATGGTGTCAAGGATTACTTAGCGCATGCATTTCCGGAAGTTATTGAAATACACGCGTTCATAATAACAGCAGTAATAGCACAGTCATTGTTGCTATTATTTACGTTCATTTTTTTATTGAGATAATTAAATTTGTGTAATAGAAAATTGAATTTGTGTAGTAAAATTGTATTTATTCGTGTTCATTCGTATCGAAATGTTTTATTGTTTTTACTCCATGTCTACAGATATTGAAAGTGATAAATTTATTTCAATATAATAAAAATAAATCATCTGACCGGAAGTGGAGATTATAATTTAAAATAAAGTAATAATTTTGAGGACATGCAACGGAGAATTTTAAGATTATAGAATTTACATACAAAAAAGGAGTACCAATTATAAGGGTTTTCATCCATTTTGAGTTCGAAAAAAAATCGTTCAACTTCAATAATTTCTTCTTCTAAAATATAAACATGTGGTTTGTCACTTTCCGTAACGATGTAACGAAATTAGACTAGTGTCACGAACTTAGATTTGAGTCGCATCACGACAAAAGCAACATAATGGGTTTGCGACCAGCATGGATCCAGACCAGCCTGCGCATCCGCGCAGTCTGATCAGGATCTATGATGTTCGCTTACAGACCCTATAACAAGTAAAGAAACTGATAGCGAACAGCATGGATCCTGATCAGACTGTGCGGATGCGCAGGTCTGGATCCATGCTGGTCGCAAACCCATTATGTTGGTTTTGTCGTGACGCGGCTCATTTGTCTGACGGAATCAGACTGGTGTAACGAAACTAGTGTGATGTAACAAAAATGTGAGTTTGTTATATACATAGATGTTAAGTCAAATACTCTATGATTGTTTTTTTTATACTTTTATAAACACTTTATTATCATTATAATCAAAAATGATATGATATGTATTTTACATTTTAAGTGTACATGTAATCAGTCGAACTGAGTCTTCCTTTGTTTTAGAATAAAACAAACATTTTTTACACTTTTTACATAACCTTTATTTTCTCTCCAAAAGTTATCATTCTCATTCATGTTGAAGTTAATTGTATGCTATGAATCCTGATAGGGATTAATTCGGATTTTACTAAACTGTCAGTAATTCCTCCTATTTTTGAATATGAGCTCTTATATTTTAAGAAATATTCTTCAAAATCTTCGTAAATGTTTATACAAAATTTAAAAGCAACAATGTTGTCAAGTAAACAAATAAAATAGCGTAACTTAATCAATGGCAGTTAATATAGATACAATTACCGTTTACAAGTCAAAATATTCCGAAATAGCCCTTAGTCTAAAAGGCGTAAACTGGTAAATTTTGTGTAGACGAGTGTTAACAAAATATTCCCATTTTAATGTATATGTATTTGTTTGTTTTATTATTTATTTGATGAAATTGAATAAATGTTTGAAATGATAAGCGTTTTTTTTTTAAATTATTTTTCCGTCAAATACGTTCAAACAGTGCAGAATATTTAGTAACAAGAACTGTCGGAGGACAGTAACGCTCGACTATTCGAAAAGTTGTCACAAGGGTGTTTCATTGAGTATAATAATGCTTACCTATATGAAAACATAAAATTGTCCGAAAAGGTACAAACCCTTCAGTAGTTATGGAGAGTACCAGCTTACAAGCAAAAATTTACTTAGAATTTCTAAGTCGAAAAAGGGGAATAATTATGCAAAAGAGCAATCAGAGTTATGGGACTTGTGCCAATCATCTTAAATAATCACAGAGAACAAATGTGTGAAGTTTCAATCCATTCCCTTCAGTAGTTATGGAGATATCAGCTTACACGCAAAAACTTAACCAAGAATTTCTGAGTCGAAAAAGGGACTATCAAATTATTTCGCTCCTTTCATTGATCATATTTATTTAAAAAAAAATAATTTGAACATCACATAGCGACTTTCCAGCTGTACTAGTAAAGAAATATCGCATGTTCCCCTCTGTGCATTATTTGAAGGGACTCCATTGAGGTTTTTTGACATCACGGGACTGGAAATATTTACATGTGTACCACTCGATACTTGTCTACACTAATAACTTTTGTCCAAATTTTCAGATAATTCCACCACTTTGTTTTCCAGAATCACCATTTTTAGTGTGCAAAATAACCCAAAGTGACAAGCGTTGCAACGCTTTTTCAGTTAAGAATCGCACAAAATACCGATTTTCAATTTATTTTTGAGCATATTTTTTCATTATCCCATGCAGATTTTTCCATTTTAAAAGCTTAACTTGATTCATGTAAGAGATAAAATTTTAAGTTTATGGCCCTTTCGACCTCAGTGGAGTTCATTTAAGGCCCGAGTTTTCAATTCAATACACTTACCTACCCTAAGTTAGCTGGATATGCGCTCCTCACATCAACATGGCGACATGAAACCATCAGACGTGACTGGCAAGTGATTTTAAGTAGCAAATGTAACCATTCGTCCATGAGAGCTTTCATATGCATGTATAAATAAACAACTAAATTGTTGCCTTAAATGTATACTCGCAAAAAATGCGTCTATCAATTTAAATCATTAAAAATCCTACGTCCCTGGCGGCGTGATCTGTGGGGTTCAAATCACACCGGCACTAAACTAGTCATATGGCGACTTTCCAGCTAAACTGATGCCTGAAGACCTCCTGATGTGCCACACTGCGCATTATTTCAGAAAAACTGAGCACCTCAGTAAAATCACTGACGTTCCGTAAGCCAGCTGGATAAATTCCACATATGAAAAATTTCAAAGTCCCTGACGGGATTTATACCCACAGAGATGAGGAACAAGTGGTTTGAAACTTTTATGATTCTGTGTTTCCGGATTTAAGTCATTTGATTGGACGACATTCAAGTTCTCTATAATTATACATCATGAACATGTGCGTTGTACTTAAAATCATATACATGAAATAATTGAATGTTATTGAGGAAATCCTTCTTTCATCTCCTAATATAATATACCAGCAATTAACCACTATATTTTGCCATCCTTTATAAAATTGCTTTAATCACAGTCTCTGCAAGACATTTTATGACACTACAGTAATTATTTGTTGCCAAGCAACAATTTTTATGTAACAGCGATATTTTTAATCATAAAAGCAACAATATACATGTATTAGGTTTATCATTTTATTCAAGTATCACAAATTTTATAACACAGAACAATACATCAATGACGTAATCCTGAGACTAATCTATGGGACCAATAGCAACTACATGACTACATAACTACACTTTACTTTACAATAATTCTACTGTCCTTGTAAACTAAGCTACTACAGTCAAACCTGTGATTAAAGGCCACCTAAATGTGAGACCAAATGAGCCGCGTCACGACAAAACCAACATAATGTGTTTGCGACCAGCATGGATCCAGACCAGCCAGCGCATCCGCCGCGCAGTCTGATCAGGATCCATGCTGTTCGCTATAAGTTTCTCTACTTGTAATGGATTGGTAAGCGAATAGCATGGATCCTGATCAGACTGCGCGGATGTGCAGGCTGGTCTGGATCCATGCTGGTCGCAAACCCACTATGTTGGTTTTGTCATGACGGGTCTCAAATGAGGTCTTTATAGACAAGTAGTCTTTTTTAAGGGTAAACTCTACTCTATTTAATCAATGACTGGATATAAAAGAGTGACCTTTATTTACAGGGTGGTCTTTAGTCGGGTGTGGTCTTTAAAACAGGTTTAACTGTATGTGTTTTGGCAATATTGTATACATGTATATTTATCACATATAAATCTAATTATAAACTTTACATATTGAAAATTTGGGGTCATCTTCTTGTATGGTAAATATTCAGTACCACCTCAGCAGAGTATTTGCTCTAGAGTGGTAGTCTTAACTTGTGGAAATTTAAAACTGTTGTGATTGTACTGAGGTGATTGCTCTACGGAGGTTAAATTTACCCTTTGAAAATCAATACTGTTGTTGTAGAGTTTATTACTCCTCAGAGGGCCACTCTGCAGAGGTTACAATGTATTCAATTATTAAATTGTTAGTGATTTTCTTAACATAGAAAACATAAATACAAATATTAAATGAGAGCGCAAGTATGTAATATACATACATCAACTTTGCAAATTCTAAATGCCTACAGATCATAAATAATAATAATTTAATCATAAAATTTCAAAAAGGGGCACACCTCATGACTGACACCCCATGACTTGCACTTAAATCTTCTAAATAAAGACAAGAAACATGGCAATGCCATGAAACCAGGTTTTCAATTATCACCATTGTAGATAAATATGTTGTAGTTGAAATACAAATACAAGCAACAAACAATGTAACTATGTGCAATGTAAATCATTAATAAGGAATTTTCTATTTTTAGTAACTGTAATCTTGACCCTATGGGGGCCAAAAAGCCATCACAAGTGAGGTTTTTATAAAAACTTGCTTTACATCAAATTTTATAAAAAGATCTTATTCCAAAATAGTTATTGACCGGAAACATATTTTCTATTTTCAGTAACAGTGACCTGACTGGAAACAGATTTTCTATTTTAAGCAACAATGACCTTGACACTACAGGACCCAAAAGCAGGCAGATGAGCTGACAGGCATGCAACAACCTAGAGAGTTTCTGTTTTATAACTAAATAAAGTTTGTTGTGATTAAAAGGATATATTACACTAATAATTAAATTTTATGGAAAAAACAAAGGGCCATAATTAGGTCAAAATTTATCCAATCACAAAACCCTGACAATATGCATCAGGGCACTTGAAGACAAAGCTTCTGTAAAAGCTTGAACAAAATCCCATGAGAAATGTAGGAGGAGTTGCGCACAGAAGAAATTGTTCACTATATATTCTGTTTAAAGAAAACAAAGGGCCATAATTAGGTCAAAAATTATCCAATCACAAAACCCTTACATTATACATCAGGACACTTGATGGCACAGCTTCTGTGAAAGTTTGAACAAAATCCTTTGAGAAATGTAGGAGAAGTTGCGCACAGAAGAAATTGTTCACTATATATCCTATGTAAGGAAAAAAAACAAAGGGCCATAATTAAATCAAATGTTATCCAATCACAAAACCCTAATAATATACATCAGGACACTTGATGACAAAGCTTCTGTGAAAGTTTGAACAAAATCCTTTGAGAAATGTAGGAGAAGTTGAGCACACAAGAAATTGTTCACTATATATCCTATGTAAGGAAAAAAAACAAAGGGCCATAATTAGGTCAAATACTATCCAATCACAAAACCCAGACAATAAGTGCCTGGGCACTTAATGACAAAGCTTCTGTGAGAGTTTGGTCAAAATCCGTTGAGAAATGTAGGAGGAATTGCACTCAGAAGAAAATGTTTACTATATATTCTATATAAGGAAAAAAAACAAAGGGCCATAATTAGGTCAAATATTATCCAATCACAAAACCCCGACAATATGCGCCAGGGCACTTGATTACAAAGCTTCTGTGAAAGTTTGGTCAAAATCTGTTGAGAAATGTATGAGGAGTTGCGCACAGAAGAAATTGTTTACGCCCGCCCGTCCACCAGCCCGCCTGCCCGCCCACCGACATACCTCAATCTAATAACCAGTTTTTTCCTTCGGAAAACCTGGTTAATAAAAATTATGTAAAGAATTTCAAAGTTTCATAGCACTGGAGCACAAAAATATGGATAGTTATACATTTTTTCATAGTTTCTGACCTGACAGAAGTAGATTCTACATCACAGCCTTAATATAATCTTTGCATGCTGCTAAAATGTTGTATGCTTAAATTTTAATATTTCAAATGTATCCAATGTTCTGAGAAATAACAAATACTAAATGACTGTCAAAAACCTGGTACCAGTCAAGATGTGTTGGTACTTGGTGCCTGTCTCAGGTCTGGTACCCAAGCTGTATGCACAGGTTATTGTCCGAGACAACAGGTTATGATGAGTTTAATCAGATAGCATCTAATACCTAAATATCAATTTAAGTTATACAAAAAGGTAGACAAAAATAAGATGCCTGCCATAAGATGAGAAAGCTAAGATAAAAAAAATATTTTTGAAATGAATGTATTAAAATATATTATTTTATAAATTACCATAATCCATATTCGAAATTAGACATTTTATACGTTTTCATATAAGTTAATTTTTTATTTCAATGACCAAAATTTTTACCCCTTTACCTATAATGTATAATGAATTAGGTGTGCTATTTGAAATCAAATTAAATTTCCAAAATGATATCAAAGAAAATTTAAACCCTAACCTTGTACATTTGTGTAATCAATTTGCCCTACTTTGAGTTCCGTACTGTCCATTAAATGTTTGAGGGATTTCAATATCGAAATACTCAAATTAAGCTATATAGATCCTGGTCATACCGCATAGAAGTTCAAGCTGGCCTAGCTGTATACTGGTGGCAAAGGCTTAATTATTACTTTCCATTACAGCAGTGATTTTAAATCATGTGAACTGTGTCAAAGTGAATATCATTTTATAATTCTCAATATGTTTCAAAAATAAACAACAGCACTGCATGTGGTGTTAACGCTAGTCTGTTAAGGGCATCAACTATCAATAACAAATTGTGACAAAAAAAGGCATAACTTCAAAAATGTTGATTTCAGAATCCCTTGTCTAACAACTCCAGCTTGTCATGATAAGCAAATTTTCCATGTGTTGATAACTTTAACACTGTTTTAATAATGAGCTACATTCAAGATTTCACACCATGACGACAATGATGATGCAGTAATTATAATAGCTTGAGATTATCTTCCAAAAGAAAATAGCTAAAAATTAATAAATAAATAATAATAATATCATATAAATATAGGTTTGAGACAAAAGTAAGAATAATGAGCGATTGGAAAAATCATTTTATCAAACGAAATTATTAAAACCCCTCACATAATCAGTGGACTGTTCCCAAATCAAAGCAAGATGAGTCCATTATAGAAAATGAGGAGGGTAAGGATTGTTTTGAAAGACAAAAAATATCATAAATAAGACTAGATTATTTGGCAAAAGCTGTACAAGAATAAATAAATCTAAATAAAGAACAAATTCTGAAAGAGAATACAAAGAAAAATGTTATCTCAAATTAAATAACACATATTAATATGTGAAATTGCACAAAGCTATAAAAATTGCACTAAATTTGTTAAGTTATCTAAACTTAGTTTAAAAAAAGAAATGATAATGGAGAACCACAGGTTCCAAAGCAAAGTGAAATGCACAAAATAATATACATTCTATATGTTATAAATGAAAATCTAAAGAGATTCTATACAATTGCAAGTCTCAGAAGCTAAAAAAGATTAGTTATTCTAGTAAAGAGAAAAAATCAAATCATTGACAGATAAATCTTGGATTCATTATCTTCAATTTGGCATACATGGTCACTAATCTAACCAAATGAACAAAAGCTGTCGGTACCACAGCGTGCTTCACTATTCTCAGAAACAGCCCGGATAATGTAGAATTTTTAAAGTTCATAAAGGGCAGTAATTCTGTCAAAATCCAAATTAGAGTTATGGACCTTGGACAATCCTATCATACATCTCAAATAAGTTTGTAAAGTTTCAACACATTCTCTTAAATAGTTTCGGAGATACTAACTTGCATGCCAAGGCCTTGGTGAGTATACTAGCTTTCCTATTTTTCAAATAGTTGAGCTAAAAATGGGATAAAATATTTCATAAGATTGATACGGTGGATAAAAAAGTATTTCTGGTGAGGCGGAGGAATTTATTGGGTGAGCAAACAATCATAAGTGCATAAGGTAAAAATGTCAGCACTGTTTGTGTCATATTTATGAGTATTTTAGTGCAAAAATAGTTATTATAAAAAAAAATAAATAAATTCATGATTACAATAAAAACAAGAAACATGGCAATGCCACGAAACCAGGTTTTCAATTATCACCATTGTAGATAAATATGTTGTAGTTGAAATACAAATACAAGCAACAAACAATGTTTTGTTAGTTTGTTTCATTTTACGCCTTTTCCCAACAGTATTTCAGTCATATAGGCGGGTAGTTTCCTAACTATCGTTCCTGGAGAGTTACCAGTACTAGAGAACCTTCCTCCATGCTAAACTACCAAAGCATCTCCTGGAGATCAAACCCACGCCAAAGAGGTAACTGGACTCTAACCTCTCGACCACAGAGGCGGTAACAAACAATGTAACTATGTGCAATGTAAATCATGAATAATGTAGGAGGAATTGCGCACAGAAGAAATTGTTCACTATATATTCTATATAAGGAAAAAAGGGCCATTATTAGGTCAAATATTATCCAATCACAAAACCCCCACAATATGCACCAGGGTATTTGATGACAAATGTTCTGTGAAAGTTTGGTCAAAATCCATTGAGAAATGTAGGAGGAGTTGCGCACAGAAGAAATTGTTTACGCCCGCCAGCCCGCCCGCTGACATACGTCAATCTAATAACCAGTTTTTTCCTTCGGAAAACCTGGTTAAAAATCCAAAGAAAACCCTAAATCCCCCAACAACAAAAAATTATGTTAAAAAAAAAAAATCAATCTCAAAATGGTTTCAACTTATAATGCTGATAGTTCAAATCATCAAAACATATAGAAACAATGTCTTGCTATTTATATTAAACATTTTTACAGTGGCTAATTCTAACCAAAAAAAACTTTCAGTAGAATTTCAAATTACCTTATCATGCATGTATGCATGTATAATATAAATTATTGACAGGAATGTTCAGGAGATGCATGTATAAGTATATCAAAGTATAATATGTATAACATGATGAAATATATTTTGATCTTTTATCTTTGGCTTCAATGATCAATATTAAAAGAACATGCACTCTTGCCAACATAGGCATCAGTTGAACAAGTATTGTCTCCCTTTTACTAAATTTCTTTAAGAGGCTCACAACTAAAGAATTATCTTTTTAATGATCAAAATATAAATGGAATTACCTTTTATCATTCAAATGGAATGTATATTCATTATAAATATGATATATCACCACACTGGCACATATTTGGAATGATTTTTGGGTGTCCAAAAAAGTAATTATATATAATAAATAGTTGTCTCCCTTTAATTGTAAAATAACATTTTTTGGCATTAGCAACTATTTACAATGTACACTGTCAAGGGCTGAGCAGAGAAATGAATATCTAAGTACAAGGCTAGGCAAAGCCCTGTATATGGATAGCTAAAACTTGGATAAAAAATCTACACAACTCTATTTCTTAAACACTACATCACTTCATGTACATCCTAATATATACCGTATAACTACATGCACATAACTACAGTACATTATTACTATTGTTAAAAAAATATACAAGACATACAAATTAAAATCATCCTCTGCAATTCTGTTACTTCTTTCAACATAAAACAGAACTATTGAACAATCTTGACTAACTTCAACACAAAACAAGCAAATTCATTGAATTTATATCCCCCGCCGAGTAATGGTTATTATTAACACAACAACTGAAGACATAAGGCTTTATTTATATATTAATCATGGCATAAACAGTAATATTCTTTGAACTTGATAAATATTCAGGGCAATAACAGAGCCATAACTTTGTGTTAAATAGTAAAATCTGGAAATGCCAATGAGATGTATGCATACTACATAACTAATCAAGGGCCATAAATCTGAGTTATAAGTATCTGACTGGAACAAGGCGACTATATGCATATCTCCTCTTAGTATCCAATAAAGTTTCATTGAATTCCAGCCAGTAGTAGCAGAGAAGTAGCGAGGAAACAAGTATTTTTCTATATGGATACTGCATAACTAATCAAGGGCCATAACTCTGAGTTAAAGTGTCTGACCGGAACAAGCCGACGATATGCGCATCTCCTCTTGGTATTGAAGGTTCCCATAAAGTTTCGTTGAATTCCAGCCAATACTTGCAGAGAAGTAGTGCGGAAACGATTTTTACTCTATATATGCATACTACATAACTAATCAAGGGCCATAACTCTGAGTTAAAGGGTCTGACCAGAACAAGCCGACGATATGCGCATGTCCTCTTGATATTGATGATTCCCATAAAGTTTTGTTGAATTCCAGCCAGTAGTTGCAGAGAACTACACTGGAAACGATTTTTACTCCATATGCATATTGCATAACTAATCAAGGGCCATAACTCTGAGTTAATGAGTCTGACCGGAACAAGCCGACGATATGCGCATCTCCTCTTGGTATTGATGATTCCCATAAAGTTTCGTTGCATTCCAGCCAGTAGTTGCAGAGAACTACTCCGGAAACGATTTTTACTCTATATGCATACTACATAACTAATCAAGGGCCATAACTCTGAGTTAAAGGGTCGGACCGGAACAAGCCGACGATATGCGCATCTCCTCTTGATATTGATGATTCCCATAAAGTTTTGTTGAATTCCAGCCAGTATATGCAGAGAACTACTCCGGAAACGAAATTCGGACGGACGGATGGACGGACGGACTGACGGACAACGCCAAAACTATATCCCCCTCCCGATTCCATCGGCGGGGGATAATTAAAGTCACAACAATGGTTTATAGTTGAATTGAAAAACATACTATACCAAAGTGTTGAAAAAAATTGGCAATACCATGTAACTTGACAATTTATCATAGTTATAAACAAATAAAGATATATATATATATATATATATATATCAAACAAAGAAATTGCTTCCATTAATATTAACTGCCATAAGGACAATCATGTTAAAGCTAAAAATTTCTAATGTTAAACAATGTTCATCTATAATGTTCTGTGATTCCTTCAAAAAATCCTTAAATTTCTCATTACCCCTTACCATGACAAAAATTATATCCAATAAATCAAAGTTGAACTCAGAACCAATTTTCACTTCTTTCCATAGACGGTTTTGTTACCATAAAAAACTCCTAGCTTCCAAATTTAGACCAAAATTGTGGAATTTACCATTTGTTGTGATAGATTCTTTCCTAGCATGTAATAGCGTTTCCACTTCCAGACGAAAATGTGTGCAGCTTTACACTAGTTATCACCTGGTTATGCTAAAATGAGGTGTTATGTAAAAATAGATCATCTAGCCCTAAATTAGAGTTTGACAACCTATCTCCTAATAGTTCTATAGTTATTTCCATTTTACAGTATCAATTAACATTTATAGCCTACTGGTGACCAACAGATTCTACCAATGCCTTCAGTGCAGACCAAAAATCACCTCGCACATCTGACCATGGTCTGCCCTGTTTACTATTCAGTCCATACATAAATTTTTAATTTTCCCTAAAAATGATTAATGGTTTAGTCCATATTGAAAGATGGACAAGTCCATTCAAAATATTTAGTGTAGAAACAGTTGATATAATTTTATGTATTATCGTCACCTAACCTGTTTCTATGTATGGAGACAGAGTTTTGCAAAGTACAATTTTTTTTGCAAAGTTGAAAGTTTGTTAGGTTTTCAAAGTATCATATCCGCCTTGGCCAAAATATGACACCATTACTTTAAAAAAACAAATCAGTTTGTGTAGGCATGGTAAAAGATCAAAAACATGATCAAAAATTGACACTGATTAAAACAGTGTCCATAGATCAATTTATTGGCTATAATTCAACTATTTAATAAATACTGAGTAGGTGGTATCTGAACAATTTGTGGTATTGAACAAAATTGTGATTGTTCCAATATTTTGTTTTGGCATGGATAATCAAGCAGTTAGGTGGTATGAGGAAAAGAAGGTCATCATTTACATTCATTAGGATAAGATTTTTATTTTTAACATAAAAAGTTTCCTTTATTTCATCACACTGTTCAGGTCATAATTGTAATTTTCCAGCTTTACTGATGATGAGAAACCTCAGGAGTCAATTCTTGCATAAGGTAAGGGTGGGGGTATCTGAAAATCATTTTTCTGTTAGTCAGATTTATTACATGACTGAATTGAAAGTCCATGGCAAGATTCGATCCTACAGATGATGGTGAGAACAATCTGCCATGGACTCCAAAAAACACTGAAGTTTCAGTTATTACATATTCAAAAGCTTAAAAGTATACATTGGCATTGAGGGAAAAAAACAATTAAGTTTAAATCTCAGGCCATTAAACTGCCATTAAAATTTCAATGCTGATATACTTAATATATAACGATAGGGAAAAAACTAAAGTGTAAAACTGATTGGATGGCCAAATATATCAAGATACATCTTTTCCCCAAATAAAGTTTGTTATTTTCAAACTTCATTCTTTAATCAACATATACCTGATTATTTTACATCACAGAAAATTTTGGAAAAAAATAAGTATATTTAATAAAAAAATAAAAATGAAAAACCTTTTCCACACTTGCACATAAGCATTTTCTAAAATAAATAAAAACAAAATGGAACCTGAATTAAGTCATTGATTTTAAAATAAACTCCGATTTCTTGTGAATGCCCTAGATTTTCTCTGTGATAATGCACCAATTTGCATGGTCATAAAAACATTGAACGATATGTAAATCTGGTATATACTTTGAGATCAATGCCTCGATTTCACCTTTCCGAAATACATGATAATATCTACACAGTTTGTTTGACATTTCTTCATCACCCTCTAATTCAAACACGGCATCATCTTCTTTCGCCTCACTTTCATTTCTCGATCTTTGTCCAACACAATGAGCTTTGCTGTTGGATTTCCCGCTTCTACAAGTTTGCCCGGAAAGATTTGAGTCTTTTTCTAACAAACCATTCTCTACTAAATCTTTACGGTTCCCTCCAATCAACCTATCCTGACTAGAATTTACACTCTTGTCAAACCTTATCTCACCCATTTTGCACTTTTCAGACAATCTTTCCTGTAAACCATTTACACAATTCTCTGGCAAACTGCGACTGTCAGCCTCAAAATCCTGACCATTCATTCCGACAATGTGTTCATGATTTGATTCACTGTAACGTAAGGCACTACCATGAAAATCTGTCAAACCTATGTCCCCGTTCTCGCATAATTTGCCTACATCAATTTTTATGTAACCATCATATATCCCGTTAAGAAGTGCACTTTCACTATGGCATCTATTGTAAGAAATTTCGTTGCATGTATCAGTAAACAATTTTCCCTCCAAAGACACTGTATGTCTGGTTCCCAGTAGTTGTGTCTCATTTGCCCAGTTTTCCTTCATGTGGTTCCTGGCTCCACTTGTTGATGTTAAATTATCATTATCAAGATCAATTCCGCTGTCTGACAAAATATTTCCACGAGGCGAAATTTTCTCCTCATGCACCACATCCGGACAACTACTTAATGGAAACTCCCTGACCTTGAAGTTTAACCTTGAGGCAAGGTCAAGCTGTTCCTTAGATAATGGACTAGTAGGACTTTTCACATGATTTGTGACCAAATTTACGTTTTGTTTCCGTCCATTCTTTTCAATTTTATCTTTACTGTCACTCTTGTCATCGAATATTTCCAACAGTTTTGATTTTACTGCATTAAAGAAAGATCTTTCAGATTTTTTAGCACCTTTAGTTTGGGTTGGCAATTTAAATTCGACATGCACTTCTTCAATCACATCATGTATGTCGTTCATCACATCAAAGTCAGCTACCATATTATCTTTAACCTGACTAGCTCTACGTATGACATTATTGAATGTGTATGGGTCTAGTGAGTCTTGTTTCATAAAAGGATTGATTTTAGGATGATATGTCCTATTTGAATGCTTTGGCAGTTTGCTGTCGTCTTTGCAACGTAAATGTTTCCTGCCACTTGCGCTATCACAGTTTCTTTTTTCCCTACCTTTTTCCATTCTTTCACTTTCAATTCTTTCACCACCACATTTAAAATCTGTTTCATATATCGCACAAGGATTCGGAATTTCTGCTTCGAAATCATCCGTTTCAAGATCTCCTACATTCCAGTCTAGTGTAACGCCCAATGCTTTTTCATCTACAATGCCATTCATAACTTCTGTTTCACTTGAGCAAAGGTTGTCTATAGTGCCGTTCACACTATTTTCTTCATCAATTTTATTATAACTGTCAAAACTGTTACTTTCCAGTCCAAATCTTTCGTCCCTGCATTTAGCTTCCAAAGCATCTAAGCTTCCAGATGACATTGCTCTTAGGGAAGCCTCTAACTTCCTGCACTCACGTATCAGTTTATCTGACTTCGCTGAGCTATGGCATTTTCTTAAAGACTTTTTGTTCCAAACAAAGTTTGCTTCCATATCTTTATCCTCTTTTTTTAAATGTTTCGGACTGCCGCTGAAGTCTAGCGAATAGTAATTGGGTTTAAATTCATTGAGCTCTAGTAATGCTGTGACATCATCTGCACTAAGTGAACTCTGACGTCGTAATTTTTGGTGGGAACTTTCACCATTCGACTGTTCTCTGGTGTCACTGGACTGGACTGCTGTTTCATCTTCACTGACTGAGCTGGTACTAGACATTCCAAATGATGAGGAGGAACCTTCAAACATATCAAATGATACTTAATTAATATTTTTTTTAGGTTTAAAGTCACACTGACATGGTCAGGTCACATGGCGGCTTTCCAGCTTTACAGGTAAAGAAAAAAACCTCCGGTGCTCCCTTTATGCATGATATGAACAGGCACATGGACCCACTGACCTTAACATCAATACATAAAGGAATAAAAAGTTCCCAATGTGAACAGCTTATTTGTTGAAGAGAGTGCAAGGGAGGGTAGAGTGATTTACAATTTTAATATCAGCAACTGTGACCACATGTGGTTAGCACTCCTTAGATTATTAGTCTGATAAGTTAACCTACGCCCCCAATGCTTAATTGTATAATCTTTGTACTGAAATTGCTAAAAGTGACAATAAGTTCAACCGTGGCAAATTCATAATCAGAATGTATTCATTAACTTTCAGTCTATAAAGTAAGCCAGGACTCAAAGAGCAATGATCAATAAAAATTACCAGTGCGTGATGGTCTTGTTTTACTGCTTCCCCTCCAGGGTATCAACACATCCTGACTATCAAACTGCAATTATAAAATTGATATAAATTTCATTTTCATATTCCTCCATTTTTCACTGAAAAGATATAAAACAAATGAACAAACATCAACAGTAATCACAGCGTGCCATGGACGCCTTATTGGTAAAAAAACTAACATAATATATAACCAAAGGAACAAAGATGATGTTTGAGTTAGACAAACGGATTGACATAGAGTTAATGAAAAGCCTTTTTTGAGTACAATGGGTTAAAAACAATTAAGGGCCTCCATGGGCAAGTGTTTATGGTCACTTGCTTTAAATCCCTTGCCCCTCACCTCTGTGAGTTTGAATCTGGTAATGGAATTGGACTATTTTATGTGCATAGGCTATCCAGTTAGCTTGCAGGTTAGTGGTCCTACTCAGGTGCCCACTTGTGCCTAAATCGGCACCTTTGGTCTTCCCTATGGCCATAATACTATCTTTTTTAAGTAACAAGATGACTTACAACATAATATAAAACAATGTAATTATACCTTTCTACGTTTCTGCTCAAAGGCCCATACATAGAGCATCAGTTTGCCACCAGGTTGTAAAATACGTGCCAACTCTCTGAGCGCTTTTATACGTCTCTCAACTGAACAGAAATGATGTATTACACCAATTGAAACCACACCGTCAAATGCCCCGTCTCTAAATGGCAGGTTTAGATTGTCTGCATAGGCCACTTCATAACCTGAAAAAAGAAATCCCTGCTATTAAAGAACTGTTAAACATTTTGCTATTATTCTCATGCGATTTGATGTGGTATCAAACAACAAGCATGCTTGACTACTCCCAGTGCTTGAATGTAAAGCAAGAGCCTAGATAATGTAGAATTTTCTAAAAGTTCTGAAAGGACCAAATTTGTGTTAAAATCCATGTTAGAGTTATGGACCTTGGACAGTGACCTCCTATAATGTTCTCAAATAAGTGTGTGAAAGTTCTACCTATTCCTAAAGCTGTTTTGGCGATACAAATTCCCCCCCCCCCCCCATGCCAACACCTAGATGAGTATAACAGCTATCCCTATTTTTATCAAAAGTCGAGCTAAATTTAAAAAATTGAAAATTTATTCCATTTTTGGATTTTTCCAAGCACTAATACAGAAAAAGCAGCACCTTGTCATACAGAGGTAAGACCATCACAATTATGTCTTGACAAGCTGTCTTATGTACTTCTAGGAAAAAAAAAAGAGTCCAATTTACTGGAACAATCATACTATCATCCACGTATCAATAGAAAGTACATCTGAGATCAAATTCTCTATTTTATCCCCATTTTATCTCTATTTTATGATTCATCAAACACAACAGAACACTGACTGTGTCAAACAAATCAATTTCTTAATTGGAAAAACATCCAATATTGGTACATGTATATATTTTTCCATTCTGGTTTGTATACAGTATTATTAAAAGAGTTTCACCCCTCTCTTTTTCAACTAATCCAAACACTTGATTATTTTTAAAACTTAAGCTTTTATACAGCAACAAAACTTTTGTCATCATTCTTAATGTATAATTTATGTCATAAAGGCTTTTTTGTAAAATTGTTTTATTTTTTTTTTATATTTTATATATATTAAGATAAGACTTTTTAGCACCCAGACCTAAAATCTAGATTCTAACACTCACGTGATTTTGTCACTATAGACAAAGAAGGAAAAAAACTGGTGTTAAACTGCCAATAAAAACCAGTTAAGGTGACTACTTGTATATGCGCTGTTATGTTTTCACCCTCGATTGTATAGTTTACAAAGCATTTTAAAGCAACAATAAAAAGCATTTTATTTATATTTTCAGTTTGTATAATGCTTTCTTTTCAACAATACCGAAATAATATCTCACATACACTCACGCCACATATTAGATCCATATCAGTTAATAAATATTTTGACAAAATGGCGCCAATCCGTATAAGCAGCGTAATGACGTCATCCTAAGTAAACAACTCATTCATAAACAAGCTGACGTTATTTCATACAGACAAGAATGATAAATGGGGCACTGACGTAAACACAATGCGACGTAAGTATTTATTGTTGAAAACTTGATAAAATAACGTTTTCTTCTTATTATTTCTTTTGTTTAATAATTTCTATATCTTCGCAACAGTAGGGTACGAAAATCGAACAGCGTTTGACGAAAATCGGCACCGGAAGTTATTTCCGCTTGAAAAATAACATTTGAGTGATTTTCCTTATTTATCGTGTTAGAATCGAAATAACATCGGCCTGAGAGGTGTATATCGGCTATTTAACACCGGTTTTGTCGTTTTGATGCGAGAAAATTAACCACTCAGGCCTATGGCCTTCGTGGTCAATTCCTACGCATCAAAACTCCAACCGGTGTTAAATAGCCGATATACACCTCTCAGGCCGATGTTATTTCTTAATCAATACATTGGCCTGATCTCTGCCTAAAAGACATGCATTATGTAGTTAAATTTGATTTAGATAGGGCAGCAAAAATTCCAAATCATTTTCTATCCTCGGAAAAGACAAAATGTTGGGCTAAAAACAGTTAATTCAATTCAGCAAAGAGAAAAGTAGAAAGCCAATGATTTACTTGATAATTTTAGCATAAAAGAAAGAGAGGAAGAGAAAAATAAAAATAAAAGGTTTCCATGCTTATATATCTTAAACAGATTTGTGGATCTTTGAATATACAAAGAACCATACATCATTTTTTAGGAAAACTTCAAAATATGTATTGATTGAAAAATAATAGAGCAGTACAGATCATGGTCAGAATTCATGGCACTGAACTCAGCCTGCAATAGTAACAGTGTATGGGTAGAATCAGTTACCTATGTAGGTTATTGGATGAAGCATTATAGGGGTTGATCTTATTTATTTAAGATTCTTCTAGTCTTGTTTACTAGCCAACTTGCAAGGGCTACTTAACTATATTTGAGCCAACTTGCTAGGTTCACTGAACTATATTTGAGCCAACTTGAGAGGTCTGCTAAACTATATTTGAGCCAACTTGCGAGGTGAACTAAACTATATTTGAGCCAACTTGCGAGGTGAACTAAACAAAATTTGAGCAACTTGCTAGGTCAACTAAACAATCTTTAAGCCAACTTGCGAAGTCAACTAAACTAAATTTAGGCCAACTTGCGAGGTCAACTAAACTATATTTAAGCCAACTTGCTAGGTATACTGAACAATAGTTGAGCCAACTTGCGAGGTCAACCCAAATAGCCGAGACTGGTATACTTGTCACCCTGATATCAAAACTGCAAGTCATCATGATTCCGTACAAAAGTGTCATTCAAGAAATTTCTCACTAAACAAAACAAATCAATTTTTTCTCACCATCTCACAATAACAATCCTGATATTTACAAAACAGTATCATTTTCAGTTACAACATTTGCGTTAACAGAGTGTTAACTGTATACAATAGAACTATCTGTTTTCAATCTTTCTCAAAATTTAAAGTAGTTTATTATCTCAGAAATCACAGCGCCAATTTATTTCCAGAATACAGTTGACTTAATACTGTCCCCATAAATATTTGATCAAAGGGTATTATATTGTCTCCAGGAATGTTGAATTTTTTTCTCTCCCCCCCCCCCCCCCATACCCCCAATAATGTAAAGTAACACTCTTTTTAGTTTTTATTCATTTTGTTGTTAAAAAAACCTCAAAAACAATATCGCTCTATAATCTTGACAGACAGACAAATATTTTTGACTCAAGACTGGAAAGCTATTACGAACCAAATTTTGAAGCTCAAAATACAAGCCGTTAAATTATTCAATACTTTTACACAAAATGATTACTCCCATATCCAAAAACAGCCTTAAAGAAGATACATTTGACAGGCTGATTAAATTGTACACCTTACTTTGACGGTTATTGATTTTGTAAGATATACATTTGTTCTATTTCATAACATATACTCAGGGTTTACCCTAGTTGAAAATTTCTTTTACCCAAATCAGTGTGATTGAATGATTTCATACAATATTTTTATCAAAATAGCAAAGCATGGGTAAAAAATCCTATAGCTAAAATTAAAATTTCTATAGCCACATTGTGAACATTTTAGCAAATGGTTAATGGCAGAGTAAAAAAGCCCTGCATACTCTTTGAATGATATCTAAAATATGCCACTTGTATTCTATTTTAAATTTAGACCACCTTTTTTCAGACTACAAATCCAGTGGTCACAAGTTCAATTCTCTTTTCCTCCAAATAAAATGCCCTTAGTTATTTTTGATGAGACAAAAAACAGATGTTCAGTGTATCGAGCCTGCAGCATTTTCAATTTTGCTGTGTTGGGCTTTCTTTAGGGATTCTGTTTTTCTTTACTTTGCTATTAATGTTTGATTCCAATAGGGTAAGGACGGTTAAAGCGCCAATGGGTTACTCTGGGAACTATAAGACCCTTTTATCTGGAATTTATTGACCTGTACATGTTTCAAATGGGTGCTATTAAAAAACACCATCACATTGTATACAGTGTCAACCAGAGACTACATATGAGCCGTGTCATGACAAAACCAACATAATGGGTTTGCGACCAGTATGGATCCAGACCAGCCAGCGCATCCGCGCAGTCAGTCTGGTCAGGATCCATGCTGTTCGCTATCAGTTTCTCTACATGTAATAGTGTTTGTAAGCGAACAGCATGGATCCTGATCAGACTGCGCGGATGCGCGGGCTGGTCTGGATCCATGCTGGTCGCAAACCCATTATGTATTTTTTTTATCGTGACAGGGCTCAATTATATGAACCATCGGATGCTGAATTTCAGTTATGGGATATTGAAATCCCTTACAAAACACGTTAGCTACTTCCACAGCCAGACCAGTCAAATACAAAGACTGTGTAAGACTATTTTACATAATTATCTAATTATCTTATTTACATATCTGTTAAAAGAAAATCACTCCAGGTTATCTGACTGGACAAATTATAATTTTAAACACATAATATAATCGAGTCTATAAAAATTAAAACAAATGTTTAAAGCAGTATTTCAACATTAACAGTGGATCGACATTGTCACTAAGTAAGACTAAGCATCATATACTATTAGACAGAGGGTTAAAACACTTTTACCCATAAAGAGGTGAATATGTAATTCGATTTATGAAACAAAAAAGCAAACTGCCAGAATTCATTATGTCTTATCCGCAGGGAAAATGTGTTTTGAGAGGAGACAAAAAGTAAACATATCATTTGCTTAATGAGGTATATTGTCATGACTAAGTTACAATAATTCATTAACCCTTACTAAGGTTATTTTGTGTAATGAAGGTTCAGGAATTTTGATAGTAAAATAAAAAACTTGAACTACCAACAGTATAGAGCCTGGTCAGACTGCACATAAGTGCAAGCTGGCCTGGCTCTCTACTAGTAACAAAGGCTTATCACTTTTAGTACTTGCAAGCTGATGGTTAAATTCATTCATATAACTATACTTGAGAGTGTTAGACCTATTTGCTGTTAAAAACAACATTTTAAGAGAGCAGGGCTCTGGGGGTCGCAGATTTATACCACGATGAATCACTAACAAGACTATTGGTCTTTCATAAAAGATCTTAAATACGGAGGCTGATGTATTGTTGAATAACACCAATCATGTCAGAGAAGAAGGGTAGCCTCTGATATGAAGCAACTGTTGTATCCTTAACCATATACACTGCCTATGCCAAAATAAAAACAACTGCATGTCATAGT